GCAATGATCCAAGAATCATCTTCCAAGGCCCCGTTAATGCATTTAGGTTCGATTTGAGAAAGGAAGGCGGTGTTAGCACAAAAATTCTTGAAGGAAGAACGAGTTTGAACCCCTTTTGATGTATCTCCTAGAATTAGCTCCTTTGGATGAGCATCCACATACTTTCATTCCTTAGGTAAGGAAGAAGATACATCCACGTTGCTATTTTAAGGAGGGGGTTCATTTAAATTCAAAATTTCAAAACCAATATCATCATCAAAATCATTTTTATTTAACTCAAAAATTTCATTGAAAACAACATGAATAGACTCTTCTATAACTAAGGTTCTTTTGTTCAAAATACGAAAAGCCTTAGAAATAGAAGAGTAACTAAGAAAGGTGCCTTCATCGGATTTGGCATCAAATTTTCCTAAAGCATCCTTTTCATTCAAAATAAAGCATTTGCAATCGAAAACTTTAAAATAAGAAACATTTGGTTTTTTGTTATTCCATAATTCATAGGGAGTTTTTAATAAAGATGGTCTTATTAGAACCCTATTCATGATGTAGCAAGTTGTATTCACGGCTTCGGCCCAAAAATACTTGGGTAGACTATGTTCATTCAACATAGTTCTTGCCATTTCTTGTAGGTTTCTATTTTTTCTTTCAACTACTCTATTTTGTTGAGGATTTCTTGGAGTGGAGAAGTTGTGGTTATATCCATTAACTTCACAAAAACTTTGGAAGTCACAGTTTTGAAATTTGCCACCGTGATCACTCTAAATTGATGAAATCATGAAGTATTTTTCGTTTTGAGTAAATTTACAAAATTTAGAAAAACATTTGAAACAATCACATTTATGAGCCAAGAAATAGGTCCAAGTGTATCTAGTATAGTCATATATAATTACAAAAGCATATTTGCTTTCTCCTAGACTTGTCATGTCAATTGGTCCAAATAAGTCCAAATGGATCAATTATAATAGTCTAGTGGTGCTAATTTGATTTTTTGGTTTGAAACTAGTTTTTATTTGTTTACCTAGTTGACACGCATCACATACTTTGTCCTTAACAAACTTCATATTGGGAATCCCTCGTACTAATTCTCTAGATGAGATCTTAGATATTAGTTTCATACTTGCATGGCCTAATCTCCTATGCCAAAGCCAAGCATCATCATTTAAAGCGGAGAAGCATATTTCATTACTTAGTTCATCAAGGTTGATGGTGTAGACATTATTTTGTTTTAAAGCAATCATTGACAAGTTATTGTTTGGTTTTTCAATAATGCACACGTTAGATTCAAATCTAATGATGTAACCTTTATCGCATAATTGACTAATACTTAAGAGATTATGTTTTAATCCATCAACTAGTAATACATCATCAATTGAAAAACATGATTTGTTACCTATGGTTCCCTTGCCAATGATTTTGCCTTTGTTGTTATCTCCGAAGGTGACGTACCCTTCTTCTTTGCTAGTGAGCATAGAAAAATAAGATGGATCTTCAATCATGTGTCTTGAGCATCCACTATCAAGATACCATCTCTTGCTCCTAGCTTGTGGGTTTATCTACAAAAGAGGATGGTTTTAGATACCCATTTGATTTTGGGTGCCTCAAAAATTGATCTACCAATTTTGTTATTCATCATTGAAGTATTTATAATTCCTTTAGGAACCTATATCAACTTATGTGGACTAATTTTCCTAAATGGACATTTGTAAGCAACATGTCTGGATTTACAACAAAAGTTGCATTTCAAATAAGGTGAAACGTGTAATGTGGGTCCTTTAATGAAAGTGGTAGGATTTTGGTGAGATACTCTCACAAAACCAATTCCACTTCTATTTGTGACGTGACCCTTGTTTGTAAGGATCATGTACAATCCCTTGCTACCGACCTTAAACTTGTTTAAGGTCTCTTTAATTAGTAAATTTTTATTTTTTATTGCTTCTAAGTGTTCACACTTAGAGCATGGAGGAGACTATCAAGCTTATTTTGTAGTAAAACATGCTCTTTCTTTATAAGATTAAACTTCTTACTAATAGTTCTACACTCATAAAATAATTCGTGAAAAGCGATAGAAAGTTCATCGAAAGATAAATCTTCATTAATTAAATCACATACCTCTTCTCCTAAAGCCATTAGCACAAAGTTTGTCTCCTCTTTGTTGCTAGCTTCTTCACTTTCTAAATCACTTGAATCATCCCAAGTCGCTTTTAAAACTTTCTTCTTCTTCGGTTGCTTCTTCTTAGCTTGGAGGCATTCATTTTTGAAGTACCCCGGCTTCTTGCATTCGTAGCATATTACTTGGTCCTTTTTATGTTCAAGTTTATTTTTGGTGTTATTTTTAAATTTGTTCTTTCTTATAAATTTTTTAAAATTTTAAGTTAAAAGTGCAATGTCATCGTCATTGTCCTCATCACTTGATGTTCCTTTCAAGTGGTCTTCTTGTGATGTAAACGTCATATCCTTCCTATTCTTTGGGAGGGGGTTCTCGAGCTCTTCATGAGCATGACATGTCATTTCGTAGGTCATTAGAGACCCAATAAGTTCTTCAAGAGGAAATGTTTTAAGGTCCTTGGCCTCTTGAATGACCGTAACTTTTGGATCCCAACTTTTTGGAAGGGATCTTAAGATTTTAGTTATTAGTTCAAAATTAGAAAAATCTTTACTAAGAGCTTTGAGTCCATTTCATTCAAAAAAGTTCGTAAGAGTGCACAAGAATGTTGATTTTGGACTCTTTCACTCGGCTAGTGCCTTCATGAGTGACATCAAGAGTTCTCCAAATATCAAAAGCCGAATCACAAATTAAAACGTGATTATATTCATTTTTGTTTAATGCACAAAATAAGACATTCATAGCCTTTGCGTTTAAAGCAAAAACCTTCTTCTCCGATTCATCCCATTCACTCATCGGAAGAGAAGATTTTTTAAATCCATTTTTGACAATAGTCCAAAGCTCGAAATATATAAAAATGAGGAAGATCCTCATACGAGTCTTCCAATACGTGTAATCCGACCCATTAAACATAGGTGGACATGTAATAGAATGACCCTCATGCATGCCGAAGTAAGCCATCTCTCTTGGGTATTAAACCAAATATGAGAGTGAGCCTAGCTCTGATACCAATTATTAGGATCGGAGTGGCACTAAGAGGGGGGGTGAATTAGTGTAGCTAATTAAAACTTATAAGTTTAAAAATGAATTCGTAAATACAAGGAGATTTTGTTTCGATAGTAACTTGAGTAGATGAAAACCAAAAGCTAGCAGTAGTGTAAATAACAATTTCAGGAAAGTAAGAACTCACACATTCAAGGAACACCAATTTAAAATGGTTCAGTCAAAATGACCTACATCCACTTGCGAAGCCTTTTTCGAAGAGGCTCTCAACTTCCACTAGCAAATCACTTTGAAGGGGAAAGACAAATATCCCTCTTACAACCTTTTATAGTGGTTCACACTCTTACAAATTTTCAACAAAAAAGGAGGTGAACACTCAAGCAATTGAAAACAAGACTTGCTAAAGACTTTGTTACGGCTTTTTTTTTTCTCGATCTATTGCTTCTCAAAAGTTGTATTCTCTTTGAGAATTGAGGAATATTTATAGACCTAAGAAGATTCAAATTTGGGCTTCAAATTTTGAATTCTCTTGGGTTCCCGATGTTGGCGGTGCCACCGTCTGTCGGTGGCGATGCCATCGCTTGTTAGTGTCTGACACAGATAGTGTATTGGCGGTGCCACCGCCGGACCTCTCGGGTGTTGGGCGGTGCCACAGCCCAGTCCGACAGTACCACCGCCCGATCCTCGGGTTCTGGGCGGTGCCACCGCCCAGTCTGGCAGTTCCACCACCGAGTGCTACGGGTCACTAGATGGGCTTCAAATCTGGCCCAAACTAGGTAATATCGGGCCCAATTGGCCCCTAACCAGGATATAGGATTATTTCTTAATCCTAACCCTAATTACATGCAAACTACGCAACTGAAAACATAGTCCTAAGCAAGTTTTCAATCGGCAAACGTCGAGTCTCCTTCCGGCGAGCTTTCCGGCGATCTTCCGGCGGACTTTCGATACACCCTCGGATTTCTTCCGGCGGACTCCCAGCAGGCTCTCGATCTTATGACGAGTTCAGCGAGTAGCCGAGCCTTCTCGGTGATCTCCACAAACCTTCGACGATTTTTTTGACGGACTTCCGAAACTCCGACAAGTCCCCGATTTCTTCTCGGTTGGTTGCGACAGCATCTTCGACGAATCTTCGGACTCTTGAACACCCATCGAACTTGACTTCGGTATCTTTGTTTTATGTTTTCAGGCTATCGTAGTTAATCCTACACAATTAACTCAATAATATGTATTAGATCAATTAATCCATCAATTGATTTCATCATCAAAATATGAGATTCACATATCCAAGTAGAATTCAAGCCAAATGGATTAACCCAAACAATGGGTCATTTTGTTCCACCATGAGCCAACCCCATCACTATTAGTTTCAATCATGTTAGTTAACTACAACCAGATTCATTTTAGAACTTGTCAGCAAACTTCCATTCAAAGAAAAAGGGAAAAAAATATTAATAGTCAGGTTTTCATCAAATTATGGATGTCACTGAAAAAGGATGTCACAATTGGAAGATTCATAGTTTCATTTGACAATATTTTCTGCTTCAAAA